CCTTCATGTAATTCCTCAGTTGTGTGAGTTCTGCTAAACTCTATAATGAGAGTGAGAAGAGAACTGGATGAGACCAGAGTGGGCCTCTGCTGTGGAGGACAAGGGAAAGTCAATGAAGCAGGTACCCTGAGAGAGGGACCTGTACCTTGGAAAGCACTGGGCTTCCAGTCAGATCTGGCATGCTCTTGTTGGCGTTTGATGATCTGGAGTAGGTATAGATCTCACCCTGGGTTGTCCACCTATCTGTGGCAGGTCTCCAAAGTGAAAAGCCTCCTGCATATTAGAAGAGTGTAGGGAAAGGAAGTTGGCAACTTTGGGAGGGGCAGGATCCACCAATTTGGGCCCGGGGTACTGGGAAGAAAGTCAATGGGGCAAGTATGTCGAGATGGTCAGTGTCCTTGAGGTGCTCGAACATGGAGTTTAAATGACCCAGGAAAGGATGCAGCAACATCGCAGAAGTAAAGGCAGATGAAGAAAGTACATACATGGGAGTGATCAAGGACGTGGGAACCCTGAGGATGAAGGATGTGTGGTGGGGCTAGTGAAAGATCTGGAAAGATGGCAAGTTGTGGTCAGGGAGCAGGATATTTGGATTTATGACTTCAGAGGTGGAGAAGCTCTGAGTAATCCATAAGTCAGGAAGTGGTCTTGGGAGGGGCACTGCTGACCCTTGTCATCACTGGGACCACCTCTTTGATCTGACACTCACATGGCTTTTCTCGCTCCTTTCGGCATCTGATGTACGTCCCTTCCCAACTTCCCTTTCTCCTCTTTCTGGTCCAGCAAGAGGAACTCACAGCATCTTTTCTTATTTCCGGGGAAATTCATTCCACATGTGTCTGATTCACTTGCGTTTACAGAAACTTGAAATCTCTAGTGTCCAAATACCCTTTCAACTATTTTTTCCCTTCTCTTTCTTAGAAACAGGAAGTTGTGTTTGGCTGAGACAACTCTTTTCAGTGCTCCTGAGACTTAGAAGATGTTTGGAATGAGGAACGGTGAGGTCTGGGGAAGGCTTCTTTACTTTCTTCTTTGCTGGGACAATTGGACATCACCTGCCAGGGAATACTAGAATGTTTTGATCTCCCTTTACTGAGCCCAAGCCCGGAAGGAAAATGTTCCAAACGGGACAGGTGTCTTTCCCCGTCTCTGCCTTAGCTTGGAGTTTCAGAATGCATTCCCATATTGGTATTTTCTCTCTCTTCCCAATAGTTTTCCCAGAGGAACCCCTTTCTCTTTTCCATGGGGTTTCTGGGTTGGTCGGCAATGTTAAGCAAATATGGTTACTTCTTTAGTGAGGCGTCAGAGAACCTTGCCATTTGAAGAACAAACCAGGGAAACATGTCACAGGTTATAACGGGGCACACCTATCTTGCTAAGTCTGACAAGGCCGTTATTGTTTTTGTTGGTCTAGAAAACAGACAGGTGCCTGGGAGGGGTCCCGATCCTCCCGAGGAAGACTGGGAGTCTCAGCTCACTCACAGCTTACATGGAAATCCAACTGTTCGTTCCCTCGGTGTGTTAGCTGATACTGTTTAGAATGTTTTATCCAGCCTACATACCCCCCCCCCCTGCACGCCCACAATGAGCTAGCAAAAATGTCGGCTTCCATAGGTGACTTCTTCTCTTTTATGTTCTGTGCACAGAGATTTCCTCATAAAGACATGTTGTCCTCCTGCCATAGGCCACCAAAGGACAGTAAACCCCAGTTTATCTTCCTCAATCACAGCAAAGCTGGTTCCTACTTCCATTCCCTTTTGTCCCCTCATTTTGAATGACCTTGAGGTGCCTAATGATCTGAATGAGGATGGTGCTAGGGGTGTGGATGGCTGGCAGGGACACACTCCTTCTCACTTGGGGAATTCCCTCCCCAAATTTGCAGTCTCTGGTTGGCTATTTGGGAATAAAGGGCAGAGAAGAAACCCTAGGCAAGGATTCACTTATCTTTTATTTTTGGGACAGGGTCTCATTAAGTAGCCTAGACTGGCATTGAACTTAAGAGCTTCTAGCCTCAGCTTCCTGAGTGCTGGGATTGCATAGGTGTGCCACTATGCCCAATTTTGGATTCACTTATCTTAAGGATGAAAGTTGGGGGAAAAAACCAACTTGATGCTAATGCATTACCTTTGGGATATTTGGGGCAGCTGCTTGGACTATCCAGATTACTGGCCGAGTTACCTGCTGAGTTAGGGCCTTAGGGCCTCCAACGAGAAAGCACTGGTACCCGTTTCCAGGGGCAATGGCTAGAAAATGCAAACTCTCAGCAGAGGAAATACCATCTTTCCCTCTCTGAGCTAAAGGGGTGGCCACAGCTGGCCAGAGCTGACCATGGTGTGGTCCCCCTCTGCAGCTCTGTTTGCTGAGTACTGAGCTGCAGCTGTTGAATTTTCAGACACAAACAAGTATGTATTCTGTGAGCCTTGCTGAGCCCACACAGCAAGGGAGAGCCAAGCCGGATTCCATTCTGCTTTGCACATCAGCAGCTCTGCTGCCAGCTGAACTCCAGGGCAAAAGCTGCGTCTGGTAATGACACAGGCAGTCGGGATGGCACAGCTGGCCCCACAGGGGAGCTGGTGAGGACGGCACACTCGGCTTTGATTATTTGGGGGACAATGAGAAACGGAAGGGCGTGAAGACTTGCAGAAACACACACCAGTCTCAGCAAAGTGGGGCACAGCAAAGTGGGGAGAAACAGTGTTGATCACCCATCAACAACATGCCTGTGTGTGTACGCTTGTTTATATTTAGGTAAGCCCGGCCTCCTACTCACTGAAAAACTAGACAGACATGAAGTAGATGTCAATTGCCACCGTCTAAAGACCAGTTAAGGAGGACAGTAGTGGCTGCAATTCTACTGGCCTTACTTTGTACCCCAAAAGGTCTAAGTCCTTATTTATACCAGGAATCCACTTTTGTTTGTTTGTTTGTTTGGTTGGTTTTTCGAGACAAGATTTCTCTGTATAGCTTTGGCACCTTTCCTGGAACTTACTCTGTAGCCCAGGCTGGCCTCAAACTCACAGAGATCCACCTGCCTCTGCCTCCCAAGTGCTGGGATTAAAAGCATGTGCCACCACCATCCAGCTATGCTTGTTTGTTTTTTAAGACAGGGTTTCTCTGTGCAGCCCTGGCTGTCCTGGAACTTACTCTGCAGCCCAGGCTGGCCTCAAACTCACAGAGATTTAATCCCTCCCAAGTGCTGGGATTAAAGGCATGTGCCACTAACCCCCGGCCCCCAACCACCAAGGCTGGGGTCCAAGGCTCCATTTAGCAGTGTGTCTGTCTGCTCATGTCTCATGTCTTGAGAGAAACTTGGAAGCAAGAAAAAAGGGTAATGAAAAACAGGAAGATGTAAATTGAGGTATATCCCCTCTATTGCTAGAATGCATTTATTTCTTCTTTTTTTCTCTCTTTCTTTCTTTGTTCCTTTTTTTGCATGTATATGTCTTTGTGGTGTGTGTGTGTGTGTGTGTGTGTGTGTGTGTGTGTGTGTGTTCATGTGTGTGGGTGCATGTGGAGGTCAGAGGTTGATATCAGTTGTCTTTCTTGATTGCCTTCCACTTTCTTTATTGAGGTAAGATGTCTTGCTGTACCTGGACCTTGATGGTTGGTTTACTCTAGCTAATCTCCTACTAATCTAAGGTAATCTAGCCTCTCTACTTACTCTACTCAATTGGCCTGTAGTTCCTCTGTCACTGCCTCCTAAGCTTTGGAATTACAGGTGGCTGCCAGTGCCACTTGGCTTGTTTCATGGGTACAAGAGATCTGGACCCCTGGCTTCACGCCTGGACATCAAGCACTTTGTCCACTGGACCAGCTCTTTGACTCCTAGGATGCCATTTTTTTTTTTTTTTTGGTTTTTCGAGACAGGGTTTCTCTGTGTAGCTTTGCACCTTTCCTGGGACTCACTTGGTAGCCCAGGCTGGCCTCGAACTCACAGAGATCCGCCTGGCTCTGCCTCCCGAGTGCTGGGATTAAAGGCGTGCGCCACCACCGCCCGGCGTAGGATGCCATTTTTTAAATGTCCATTTCTTCTCACCCATTTATGACCAAGGACTGAGTTCCTTATATGGAAGATTGAGCCAGAGAGCTCCTCTGAGCCTTGAGAGAGATGAGCTCTGCAGACAGGATTTTAGGGGTTCTCGGGGTTTCCCGCGGGTAACAGATAGGGACTGTTACTCCAGGTTAATAGTGCTTACGGGGAGTTGGACTAAAAGAGTGTGAGCTATGGATGAAATGTGGTGGGGTCAGGTGCTGAGCAGGTGCTCTTGTCACTGGAGTGATGTTCTCTAGGCAGAAGGTGGGAGAGGCTCTTGTGTTGTTGTTGTTGTTGTTTAAATGAGGCAGGCCAGCACATAAGAAGGCTGATGGAGCAGCTTGCTGAGGAGAATGATACCCCTTCTCAAGAATAACAAGGCCCTGACTCAAAATAAATAAAAAATTTAAAGACAGGCACAGTGGCCCACCCCTGCAATTTCAGCACTGGGGAGGTGAAGATCGGATCAGAAGTTCAAGACCACCTTTGACTACATAGAGAGTTTGAGGTCAGTCAGCACTACATGAGACCTTTTCTCAAAATAAAAACCAAAATGAACAACAATGAAAAAAAAAAAAAGAGATCCCCAAAGTACTGAAAACTACCATAACCTATAGGTAGGAATTTTCTCTAATGCAGGGTTCTTGAAATGCGCTCTCTAAAACAGCAGCCTTCATATTACCTGGGTGGTTGTAGAACCGCAGACGCTAGCATGCTGGGCTGAGCCCTCGAAAGGCACTGGGGTTTGAGAGTCATTGGTGGAGCTCACACAGAGGAGCAGGTGCTTGCCTGAGTTGGACTTAGTAGGCTTGTGAGACCCTAGGGCGGTCGCCTTCTTACCGAAAGCCAAAGATACCCAGGGAAGATGGCAGTTGCCCTATGTGTGCTCTGAGTAAGCTTGTTCTAGCCTTTGTTTTTGGATGCTGCCCTTTCCAAAGAAGGAATGAACCAGACTAGACAGTTTCACTGGCATAAGATCACACTTTAGTTTAGTTTAGAGACATATTTGCATAAATAGTTGAAATGGGGTCCACCTCAGCAGGCAGCAGCCTGAGAACAAGTGGCCCCCTAGAACCCGGTATGGACACCACCACCCTTTAGACACTGGCTTTTAACACTGAAGATATTCATTTCTGAAGATAACTCGGAGCTTGCTTTGACATCACCAATAACGCCTGGCCTCATACCTCTCATATACTGACTCCCCCTCACTGTGAGGTAGATTGATTATTGGGGAAACCAAATAGAAAAAAAAATTCTTCTTTTTCACTTAACTTTGCCAAGTCCTTTGCAAAAAGGCTGGCTCTGAAGTCTCCCATTTGGATCGATAAGTGCACTTTTACCTTTTACCTTATACCCTCTACTTGAACCTAAGCAAGGTCCAGTCCACTGGACAGTCAACTTCAGGATCTGTTACCCTCATAACCTCTTCTCCTCTTCCTTATGAATTAGGCAGTACCCAAAGGGCTGTAGTAACAGGAGGCCTGGAAGGGCCAAGCCATCTTGATAGTATCACCTCAGAGGGGACCCTTGTCTATATACCCCAGTAGCCCACGTCCATGAGCCTAAGACATTTCCACCAAGGGGATCATAGGGGACATGGTTGGCTTCCACAGGGCTTGACATCTTCCGGTTTCAGAGCCTCATCACAGGTGTCAGAGGCCTGACCCGAGGGGTCTCTGCATTCCACAGTCCGCCGAAGCCAGCTCCCTCCACAAGTGCTAGGACACTCAGACCAGTCCCCCAACACCCACTCTGCATGGGGCAATGACTGGATGATGTTGGTGGTTGCTCTTTCTTTGCTATTCTGCATGTTGAAGTCCATGTCATTGGGAACAAAGAAGGTGTACCTGAGTTTTGGGGGAAAGACCTCACCAGACACAGTCAGGAGCTGTACTGTGAGAGGCTCAGGTAGGGCCTGGAAGCTCTGCAGCCTCTCCAGGGTAGCCATGGAACCACTGTACTTTAGGACGGTCCCCTTCATCAAGATGTCCTGCTCTATGGCAGAGATGGCCAGGTTGCCATTGAGTAGGTACTGCCCACTGGCTGTCTTCAGTGCCAGGTAGCTGCCATCATTCCGGATACCTGGGTGGCTCCGTTGTTTCACATCAATGTTCGTGGCACCGGCTGGTATGGTGACAATATCATTGTAGCCATAACTATGATAGAGATAGAAAAACTGTTAGGGCTGGTGGCTCCCTAGCCTGGAAATTAAAGTGGATTCCCCCAGGTGCCTGGGGGTGAACAGACAAAACAAACAGTTCGCAAATCATAAAGTGATTGCCTTAAAGTTCTAAATAAATTAGTTGCTAAGGCAGATAGAATTGTCTTGGATATTGGGCTCTCCATGGGTTTTTGCTTCATCTGGCAAATCTACTGTGGCTATTGAGGCAGTTAGACGCGCAGCACGGGAGAGCCTAGCAGGAAAGTGCCAGCAACCTGGCCTCTCCTTGGTTCAAGTGAGAATTCAAATACATTTGCTACATTGCAGCAGTAAAAGTAGGCATGGCTACCTCCAGATCCAGAGCTCAAACTCATGTGGAAAAATATGAGCCCTTCACTCATGCCAGAACCCAACCAGGATAGAGGATTAACACTGCCTCTTTGAGTCAGCCCTCATATAATATTTGATGACTCTGGACTTGGCAAGGATGGAGGATAAAGCTTGCTTCTTTACCACCTCTTGAGTGTGCCCAGACACTGTGAGCACCATGGTTTTTGGTGATGGGATACTGTTGGGAAAAATGCTTCCAGTCCATTGTAGACATGGGACTTTATGTAGGACGTCAGAACTTAGTTCCTTGTCCTCCTGTAGGAATGTGGGTTACACAGGGTTGAGATAAACCATTGAGGAGGGCCATCCGGTGGATTCTTTGCTATTCTTTCTTTATGTCCAGCTGGGGCCAGTCAAAGGCTAGGGAAAGTGTCCAAGGCCATATGTCTAGGACCTAGGAGGAAGTGGCGAAAGCGATCCACGATCTGAATAGCTCATGCTCCCCCCCTACTTATTTTAAGCTTAAATTTGAAAATACTTCCAAGTTGGCTGCTGGGAACTGGTTCTATTTTTTGAGATCTGCACTACTATAACATATGTACATAGGAAGGAGAAGAGAGAAGAGGAGGGAGGGAGGGGTGGAGGAGAAAGGAGGGAAAGGAGAGAAGTGGGTATAGAGAAGGATGGAGCAGGCTTCACTAGGCAGAAAACTAGTTAGTAAAGAGACAAAAACTCCGAGGTACTGGGGCTGGACCGGAGGCTTGAATGCTACAAAGTCATGAATGTACTTGATACCAGAGTGACAAAGGAAACACTTGACCTTGACCCTACTTTCCGGGACTCTCCAGGAAGTGCAAGGGACAGCAGACAACAATCACTAGTTACTTAAGGAACCTGGCCTGGCATGCAGAGATGCCCTAGGTTTAATCTCTAGCACAGCAGGAGGAAGAAAAGAAGAAACCTTTCTTTCTGTCTCTCACCAGCTCAGTGTGACCTTAGAAAAGTCAACTGATCTTTTCATGTTTCAGTTCCTCAGCCCTAAGGTAGGGAATGACAGGGTTGGCCTTGCCCAGTAGAATGAAAGCACTTTGGAACACGGCAGGAACGCTAATGCACGTGGGGTGCTTGGATGTGAGACGCCCTCTGAGTGCTTAGACTCCCAAGGATGCTGAGCACTGGTTTGTGCTCTCTTCTCTGATGAAGATCTAGTCATAGCAGGGCAGGGCTCACCGGCCTGAGGGTTAGATGTCCTTTCCATAACTGGCCCAGGGGAGCTCTTTTGCGCCTGAGTCCTGTGTTACTCAGTGTTGCTCTCCTGCTGACTGACTCAGAGCTGACACATTTCTGTCCGTGTGGTCTCCAGCACTAATAAAATAACGGCAGCCCTGGTCCCATCCTCTCCACAGCCAGATCCCATGCCATGTGCTCTACACTTCCTACCTCAGGAAGTCCTGACAGTGACTGTAAAAAGAGATGACCACTGTAGAGAAATGGAGATTTGAAGTACTTATAAGACCCCCCGCCCCCCACTCCATCTACACAACTATTAACTAGCAGCTGTAATTTATACTTGAGGCCACCAGTGTCCAAAGCCCTTTATGGGATGTAGAGGCAAGAACTCTGTCTAGGTTCAACCACTAGGAGACCTACCTGAAGGGGGTGAAAGAACCGGAGACCTTTCTACAGGTAGTGCCTTTGCCCCCACACACCCCACATTTGTCCAGCTTCTTAGGTGAGTTCACCACATGGTCACAGCCAGCCTTAACACATTGCCCCCGGACGCAGATGGACAGAGTATCCGGCCCACACAGAGTGCCATCGATCACCTGGGAAAGGAAAGGTAAGAGAGGACATGGAGCACACAGAAGCAGTCTGTAGGTGGGGGTCATGGGGGTGGCGGGGGTGGTGGAGGTGGTGGGGGTGGCGGGGGTAGCAGGGGTGGTAGGGGTGGTGGGGGTGCCTGTCCTCCCACCCTGTCTGAATCCAGGAGATTCTTACCTTGGGTTCAAACACTTTAAACTCACTCCTCCCCCGGGCTCTGCAGAACAGCTTGCATCGGTCTCGGGGGGACACTCCTGAATACTTGGGGACCCACTGCAGGAGATTCCCATCCAGATCAGTATGGTTGTAGGCATTGTATTTCTCACACTGCTGCTCCCTGAAGCTTTTGCCTGAGAAGAGCAAGGAATGGCATGGAAGTAGCATACCTGCTGGAGGACCCTGGCAGAGAAAGATCTGGATCCAGGGACCCTTTCTTTCTCTAGGCTTTGGACTCAACCCAAGGACACAGGCAGAACCTATTATTTCTAGACACACCTGCGTGCTGGTGCGTGACCCTTCCTCAAAGATCCAAGGGGAGGAGCCATCCAGCCTCACACTGGGCTCCCTGGTACAAATATCCTTCCCATCTGGGCATGTATGATTGGTACAGAGCTATATTTCCAGGACTCTGCTAATTATACTTTGTGTTGATTTCCCTAGTAACAACGGATATGTGGCAGAGGCTCACTGACATTTCTGGTCTTGCCTCTACATCTCATTTTCTATAATTCTGAATATCTATGGGAGAGCTCCATCTGCAGGTACTATAATTACCCCCCAATCACCATTGTCTTATTCTTCTGATTATTGGTTTGGTTTGGCACTATTATGCTCCAGGATGAGACTGGCACCCCAGCATTCTGAACATGCAAGCATCTCTCTGTGCTATTTCTAATCTACCATGACATCCTCTGCCAAATTCAGGAAAATTTGTGATTTTAAATGCATGCATATGACTTTGATAATACCAGACCTAGGCCTCCCGCCATTCTCTGGGGACCCAGTGCTCAGCCTCCAGCGAGCCTCCTCGGCACTCATACATGAAGACATATGTGTACTACCTTCAGAGGTACTCATGTGCACTCCCTTGCTCAGTCCTGAAACAAGCCTGCTCTTCCTACCATGCATCTCCACCCTGGCTGTGCATCCAAATGGCCCATGGAGACTTCTAAACACAGATGCACAGTGCTGAGTGTGTGAGTCCATACTGCTGAAGGGGTCCTGGCTGTAATCACAAAACTTTCAGAGTGGCCTGATAGGACAGTTGTCATGAACAATCCACATATGCTGTTTCAGGTTTTAAGGCCCTTTGTGGTCTGACTCCATGCTGCTACCTCCTGCTTGGCTCCACGTGAGTAAATGACAGTGCATGTCATACCTGCCTCATCCTGGCACATCCCTCCTGTCTCACCAATATATCATCTCCGGGGCCTTCCTTGGCCTAAACTCTCTGAGCTTCTTTCCCTGAATTCCTCATAAGCCCAGGGTTGCTGCCTCACAGAGGAAACCATAATTACTCTGTAAAAGATTTTACCACTAATCACATTGCAAAGTCCTTGAGGGCAGAGACCATGCCCTGTATATGTCTGGCTTCTCTATCTATTATAATTGTGGACACAGAGGCACTGGCTGATCTCAGTGCCTGTGAAATCACAGTGGTACTGTCACCTATCATCCATGCCTACCTTGCAAAGTCTCAATACCGGAGAGAAACTTCTGAAGCCTCATGTCATTGCTGATCCTCCTTGTTTAGCAAAACTACAGAGCTTACACCATTTCCCTATTAGACACCCAGCGCAATGCCAGAGCATCCTGGCACTTGGGAGAATGTATCCTAAAGTACCCCTTGTCTTTTCACACTGTCAACACTTCCTGGAGCTGCCCAAACTGGTGCTGGAAGGGTTGGTGGAGAAACAATATCTGACTCCCTTTGCTGAGTTGCCGACTGCCCCTTTCCACCTCTGAGTTCATGTATGTGCTTTCTAGCATGACCTAGGGGGTAGGAATGGGCAAGGGGAGGCAGAGGTGGTGCTCCTTGTTGGGAAGGCTCTGTCAGGTGGTTGCCATGGCCCCAAGGGAAGATGGGCAGCTCTTCTCAGAAGGAATGTGCCCAGGCATCACACTCAGAGATCCTCTCTCCTGCCTGAGCTGAAAGTTGGCTGGAGAGACCTTAGAGGTTTGGCTCAGACATTAGCTTTGGAAAAGGCTTCCATCTGCACATAGAGAAGGGCTCAGATGCCTCCAAGATGATTATTCTCCTCCACACAACCTCTCTTCAAAGGTCCCTTCCAGGCAGATTTGGTTGGGAGTGACATGCTTTGTCTCTCTACAGCTCAGAGACCAGGCCAAGAGTAACCTCCCTTCTTCAACATTCCCAGCCTTTCCCTAAAGTTAGAGCTACCCTGGGTGCTTGAGGACTGGTCCCAAGCTTGGTGTCTTGCAGAGTCCATGTAAATGTGGATCAGGACTCAACTCTACACCCGGGAAGACTTCCCTTCCCCTCCTCTCGGGATCTGTTACACTTACACCATTGGCTATTCTGGCAGGTAATTACCATTTGGCGGACATTCCTCTGTGTTGCATGATTGGTACTTGACTCTCTCACCCAGGCAAAATCTTCCTCCATTCTGAGGCACTGGATTATCACACTCACGGTTGGAAAACTGTATTCCTCCTCCACAGGTGCGAGAACATTCTCCCCAGGGTCCCCATGGACCCCAGTCTCCATCTACCACAGCCTGCAACACACAATGCCACTGAATCAGGACCAAAGGGGAGCTGACTTCAATCATCTAGGTCACTTGGTGGCTGTGGACCTGACCTCCTCATCTAGTTACTTTCATCTGAGTGTATGGAGTTCTGTAAATGATCTCAATTGCTTATTTAATGATAGTGTGGCTGGATTGGATGTAACTTAGTGAGCACAGAAGCTGGGCTGGGTTTGTTTGCTGTGACTGCCCAGTGTACATAAATCTAGCACCTTACGCTAGCCAAGTGCTCAACACAGTAGCTGCTGAATGAGTATGAGGGAAAGTCTTTTATGGATAAGTTTGGGTCTGGTATGATACGTTTCCATTGGGGCCCGTGCTGTTCTTCATAGGAGGAGTATGGAGTCACTGTGGTTGCCTCACCTAGGGAGGGTAATATGCCACTAGCACCTGGTGGATTCAGACAGTGATTCTTCTATATAGCCAACAGTGCACAATCCCCCCCAAGCCTTTCCCAGCTCCACATGTCACTGGTGGCAAGGCTGAGAACCCTTGGTGTAAAGAAAGGACCACCGAGAGGTCTTGCCATTATTCTATCAGCTACTGGTTCCAGGGCTGGGACAGTGCTGGGCAACACAGAGAATCACTTCCAAGTTTACAACTGACTTAGCGCCATAGAGAGTTTTAAATCAGTTTTTTTTCTATTACTAAATCAATGCTTTGCTCATATAAAAATGAAAACAGAAGACTTAAAAAATAAACAAATAAAGGAAGAGAGAGAAAGCAAACAAGCTTTCACAATGCACCACTGCCCCCAAAAGAAACCACTACCATGACTTTCATAGTATCCTCCCATTCTTATGCCCTAGATATAAAATCCTACAGCCGTGGAGTTTTCATGTGATAGACATGACACTACATACAAAAGTTAGTTTCCAATCCTGCCTTTTCGCTTTCAGGATAGACGATCCTGTGACTGTTTAATGTCACCCTGCCTCTGAGATGGGTGGTTGGACTCTCCTCCTCGTCTCTCAACACCATGAGAAGAGAATGAATGGGGAGAACGGGAGGTGGCTGAGTTGGAATCCATGAATGTGGCGCCAGCCCAGGCTTTGGATGAGAGTATGTGGCTTCCACAGCCCAGGAAGGCTCCCAAGCTCAGCACAAGAGCATGTCACCGAGGACAGCCCTTGGAACGTGCTGGGGCCACCGTGGCGATTCAGCGCTGGGCAGGGCCCAGGCTGTGAAACTCATCGGATGGTATTTCATCATGAAGGCTCCATGACTTGCAGTAGGAGAAATGTGATCAGCCTTGCTGTTTGGATGTATTAAGAGCAGGGCGAAGAAGTGAACCACTTAAAACCCTCACTGGCATTGCCTTGGTTTTTCATGCAAGTTTCCTCTGTACTGGGCCAAGTTTTCTCTTTCTGGACACAGGCCACTCGGATCCCTTCTCTCCTCCTCTGCGAGTATGACATTCTTACTATTACATTTATTCTCTGATTTCTACTAAGGAACTCAGCTTAAACATGGCAGGCTCTGAGTACTCAGACCTTGATGAAATGTTCCTATCCCATGTCACTCTCTATTTATAGTGGATTCCTCCAGGCTCTCATTTGCTTAGTGCCCACTTTCTGGTCTTCACACCATCACCAATCTTTATAGGCTTTCACATTAGCTATAAAACAGTACCAAGGAGGAGATGCTAAAGCGTGGGTAGTGATGGCAATACCCCATTGACTGTGAGCAAGCTTCAAAGCTCCTCACACGTGGGGACAATTACAGTTTGTTTTGTTCCAAGATGAGTGATTTTTCTGATAAGCAGCTTGGGCTGAAGTGTCTTAGACTAACTCTCAAATATGGTGCCTTTGCCTCCCCCCCGCCCCCCTACTCAGGCTTTCCTCTCTGCCCTTTATCTCTCCGCCTTCCTCACCTTGGGATTCTCCACTTCCTCTCTGAGCACACAGCTGCCGTACAGGCATAGGTGCTCAGGGCCACAGGGCGTACCATCAGCCCAGAGCAGGCTGCCGTTCTTTGTGTGGCAAATGGGCTCGTCACTATCCTGATGGCGGCACCAGAGCTGGACACAGATGTCCTCTACAGAGGTGTTGGGGCAGTGGCGGAAATCAGGCCCGAAGATCTGCTTGCACTGCTGGTCCAGCTCATAGAGGGTGCTGTGGCCTGGGAGGCCTGTGGGGAGGGGCAGGACCGAGGTGGGGGCATCCAGGAGACAATCTCCTGAGAACAGAGGAAAGAGATGAGTCAGAACAAGGGCAGGGCCTTGCTCTCAGCTCCCCATGCACTCCTGCACGAAGCTCCAATTCTGAACGATGTACTTCTTCAGTGTCTACGCATCCTAGGTTCTTCATCCTTGATCTAAACATCACCAACATCCAACCATGTACATAGAGCTCATTTAACCCTGGGCAACTGTAGCAAAGGTTTCTGTAGGACGAGTTTTCTTTTACTGTCCAGAAATTCCAGGTACATTCCCTGTGACGCTCATGTGCCTACTGACTGCCAGCCACTTGCACTATTAAACCACATCCACTTAAGGACACTGACATGCAAATAAAGCCCGAGTATTGGTATTTGCTCAATCTACTATTTTTACATCAGCTCTATCCCCGACCTCCTTCAGAAGAATCCAGAATGCTTGCTTCACTGCTTTGCTCGACAACCCAAACTTCTTTAACTAGGTGCCCCTGCCCTAGACCCTTGCTCCCGGATGACACGCCCACAGTCTTTCTGCCATTCCTCAGCTGCCATACAGTCTACCACTCCAGCCTGGAACATTGTCTTCTCTGCTCTTTCAAACTACAAACAGTCTTCCATTCCTTTCCGTTCTGCTTAAACTCACCGCTTCCAGACAGCCTCCCCAGACTAATTCCTTCTGCTTTGGAATGAATCAAGCTGAGTTAGCCCAGAGCTCGGGCTCTGGGAAGATGGGGGCAAGGAAGAGCATTCTGAGAGGATGCTTAGCATGCCTTTCTAGAATGACATGCCTCTGAAGTCTCTCCCCACCCGATGGGCTCTGTGAGAAAGCACAGCTGCAGGGAGTCCCCAGGGAAGAGCAGGTGCCAGCAGTCACGCAAGGTTCTACAGCAGATGGGTGGGGAGAAGCCGAGGGGAGCCAAGTGGGGCGTACCGTGACCGTCATCCAGGAGCTCTGTGAGGTATACAGCACTGCACGGGGACCAGGGCAGCGTCTTGTTCACGTGGATGAAGAATGGCGCCATCATGTGGTACTTGCCCATGGGCCCAAACAGCCTGGCACAGGGCTTAGAATCATCATGGGGCATGCTGAGAACGTGTCCTGGTTGGGGAGGGGGAGAGGCGGGCAAAGAGCAGAGAACCGTGGTCCATTCCAGCTGCCCACACCTCCAGGTGCCCTGTCCTGCCTGGATGTTCCCTACGTGGCCAGCAGTGTTGATGGTCTCAACAGTCCTTTCTTGTTACCCTCTCCCCACTGGCATGACCACCCGGACTTCCTGAACACTTCTGTTTTGGGTCTTACTCTCAGGTCCTTCTTCCAAGAAGCCTTTTCAGATGACGGAGAACCATTGAGACCCTTTTATTTTTTTGGCAGATCTCTCTGGATCTCACGTTCGCTTCTGCTGTTGGCTTACACGGCTCTCTCTTCATAACCCATCTCCCAGTGAAGCCTAACTACTTAGCTTCCTTAGGTCGTCACGGTAACCGAACGCTTCTTCCACGTTCTGGCCTTCTCTGGATAATGCTGCTGATGGCCCAGGACACCACTTCGGCGCTTTGGTCTTATGCTCAGGGTAGGAGTGGAATCATTGATATCAAGCACAACATCTATCTACAGAGAACCACTTTGTCAATGGCTACAATGTGAGGCTGCTGCTTCCTTCTCCGAATCCAGGCCCCTGCGGACCTGAAAGAGGCAGCTTCCTCGGATGTGCAAAGCAAGCTCTGGTCTGACAAGTCTTACCTAGCTCGTGGGCCAGAGTGTAGGCTGCCTGCAGGCCCTCATCCTTGATCACCGAGCAGCTCTTGTTGGGGTCACAGATGGTGCCGACGTCCGCCATCCCCAGGGTGTCACATTGCTCCCCCTTCCCACAGAAGTTCTGTTTGGTGAAGAGATAGGCTTGGAGACCAGAGGTAAGTGCCCAGTGTCCCACTCAGCTTTCCAAGAGACACCACCTGATGGTGTAAACATTACTGAGCCTTCTAAAGCTCTTTAAAAACAACAGGATAATCTGTAGAGCTCAGCTTCTGGACATCCCACCTAGTTGTCCTGCATTCTTGATTTTTCTGTCTTGGTTGTGACAGCTAGTTCACCTACCCTTGTTTTTCTAACCTGAAGAGGGACCTAAGAAACACATTATCGCTAAAACAACACCAACATCAATACGAACAACACACACACACACACACACACACACACACACACACACACACACACACACGCAGCAGCAGGAGGGGGTGACAACTGGCTTGTCTGGGACTTTAAAGACTTGCTTTCGGAGGTAGAGCTGCACACTTACTCTGAGTCTGCCCCCGCAGTAAGACTGCTTGGGCTTAACTCTGGGTACTGCTGATGTATGACCTCTTGGTGCCTCAGTTACTTCAGTTGCAAAATGGGTATAACACTGCTTCACTTCTATCTGTCACTCTCGTGAGGACTGATGAAGTAGGAAGGCCTGGCGTACATGACTGTGGCCTTCAGGAAAGCTGTTTAATCAAGTCACCACAGCCATCCTGTATGAAAACCCTGGGATCCCTAGGTTATCATCCCAACGCCTCACCAGACTGAAGACAGAACCCCTTTCCCATTTCCATTGCCAGACCTCTCCCAGGGCAGCTTGAGTCTGTTTCCTCTTGGTATGACCTCAGCAGACAGCTGGTCATAAACTTTTGGAAAAGAGCCCCTCTAAGATTCTTCTCCCCTTGCAATGGCCTCACACTTGTCCTCATGACCTCCTTCTCATCGTTCCAGCAAGAGGCCTCCCAAGTCCAGCTGGGGCCAGCAGGGAGGCAGTTCCCATGTTTGGGCAGGCCTCAAAGCTCTCCCTTTGATCTGCCCAGCCCACCTCCCATCTTCCTGGGCTTTCAGAGCCCGCCCACACACCTGTCTGGTGAACAAAATGGCAGTGTCGTAATGCTCTGGGTGGCGGTCGCTGGGCTTGTTGAAGCGCCGCTGCCAGGTGCAGAAGCTGCGCAGCGTGAGCCCGCCATTGTCCGACACCTCTGGGCCCCAGCCCTCCTCTTCCACGATCAGCACCTTGACCACCACAAGGTTGATGGAGTTCCTGATGCTTGGGTGCTTGTAGATTCGGGCTGCCATTGCCATCACTGTGAGGATGTGGTTCTACCAGGAAGGGGGAAGAGTGGGAGAACGCTAATCACTTTCATGTCCTTGACTGCTCGGTGCTACCGCCTCTGATTGGGAGACACTTATCTCACTCACACCCCGTCAGACTCTGGGCTGAGCCTTAGACATGCAGCATCTCCTGAGGATTAGGAAGACATTCCAGAACTCGGTGCTATCTCCCCAGAGAAGAAGAACAAACCTCAGTGGCTAGTCCAAGATCACAAAGCTGATGAACCATCATCCGAACCCAGATCTGTTTGATCACAAGACTTAAGCATTTAACATCCAGACCAGCTCCTGAGGTGACCTACTTCCTAGTAATTAATTAAAATTCAATGCAGCCAGTTCTTCCATCGCACCAGCAGCATTTCGAGTACATCCGCAGCTGTACATGGAGCACGGATGTTGCATTGGAACTGTAAATAAAAAGTTCTCTTGGGTTAGATGGTTTACTCTGACTGTCCGGGACACCAGCTCGTTCCTTGCCAAGCACCCCCATCTTCCCTGGCTTCACTCCAGAAGCAAAAGTCTAAAAACTCACTGTCAGTGGAATTTCCCTCTTAGCATCTGTCTGAGCATTTTCCTGGTGTTCACTGGGATAACGTCGACTTTTTAGCATGGGAACTGTTAGCTCTGAAAACTTTGCTCTAACAGTTACCCTTAGCAACATCTACTCTGCCGTAGTCACTGGCCACGGCTGACACACCACCTCCTTAACTTCTCACAGTGCCTACAGACCAGGCATTGCCATTCTGCTTGTGAATGAGGGAGCCATTCTAGTTCAAAAAGTTCTTGCAGATCACACTACTCTTAAAGTCAAGAGACCAGCCTGGGTGTGTGTCTGAGGTCCACACTCCTCCCTAGAGGTCCCTGGAGTTCAGATTTCTGGTTTCTGCCTGGAGAGCTCCCCCCTCCCCCGCCCGGCTTCAGTATTTATTCATTTCTATTTGGGGCTTGAGAGAAGAAGCTAGAGGACCTAATGAGACCCACATGCTGAGGATCCCACCTGCTTTCAGTCCCACCCAGGCCAACTGAAGGGCCTGTGGTCCTATGTCATTAGTTGGCCTCTGGCCTATCCTTGAGCTGCCAACTGCTTCCTTGTTGGATTCCGAGGCTTTGAGGGGAGGCCAGATGGGAGCTTATTGTCCTGCCTAGGGGACCTCGTGGATTATTTTTCGGAGGCAGAGACAAAGGGTGACAAGCTGGCATGCCTTGAACCCCTGGTGTGACCAGCTGAGCAGTTGCTTGCGTGTTTTGCCTTTTTTCTTTTTCTTTTTTTGCTCCCTGGAGCTTCACCTCCCTCAGCTCCCCTCTCTCTGTTCTCCTGTGGTCTAAAAGGTGGGAGTAGGAGAGAAAGGGCTGTGGAGGGGACATTCCATCGAGGAAGGCCATGCGTGGGAGTTTCAGATGCATTCCATTATTTGTGAATAGGAGCTGTCTGTTCATCCTGCAGGGAATAGACCAGATGTTTCATGAGTCCCACAACAGGTTGACGGGTTTCTGAGCTCAGGTTACTCGGCATGCCACACACTCTGGCTTGTTTAGGCTGATGTAAACATCTTATCAGCAAAGCTGTAACTTGGCCTTTGTTCCCTAGGTTGGATTGCTGAGGGGAAAAATGCAATCACATCATTATGCAACTGGGGGTGACTCCTGAGGAATGGTAGCTTGTGAGACAAGTTCCTGGCCAGATCTCCACTGCTTCTTGAGAGAGGACAGTCTCCTGGTCTGCCTAGCGAGGCTAGGATCTGAATGGACCAACCCCTGGGAATCTCTTCTAGAGCAGTTTGCGACTATCCTTCCAGGATCTCTTCCTGTGGAATCCCAGTTCCAAATCTAAAAGCTAGGGAGGGTGAGGTCTTTTCTTCAAAACAGTGTGAGGCCAGGATGCTGGTTTCTAGGTATTCAACCAAGGAGGTCTAATATGAGGAATTGGAAGATTTGGGGGTTCAAGAATGGTCTGTATATGAAAGCTGACCGGACCAAACCAGACTTAGAATGACAGACGATGTACTAGTCCCTCAGGGAAAAGGCAAATGGCTATGTGGAGGGAGTATAGTATAGGACATTCATGAGATCCTTTTCTCCAGTTACTGAACATCTGTCAGCCTGAGATGGCTGGGGAATCACTGCCTCCAGACAACAGCTGGCTATGAAGACATCTGAAGTTCTTCCTTGTCCCTGACTATCTCAGAAGATAAACTGCATAGTGGAGGGCCACAAAGATTCCGTGGTCCAATGCTCCTTTGAGAACCTTCAGGCCTTGTCTCACTGAGAAGCAGGTCATCGCCACTATCTCCCACATCCAGTTGGATCTTCTAGATACAGTGGCAGGAGCTTTGAATCATAGTTCATGTCATAGTGACTCCAGGGACAAGGACTACGTAGCTGAGGCTAGGCATGTTACCTGGCATCTGCAAGCTTCCGATTCTCCACCCGTTCTCCAGGTCTTGAAGGACAGACCTGACTTACGGATACGGGGAGCTGGCCCAGGTGCCAGTCCGGGCAAAGGTCAAATGGCTTGCTAGCTCTGCCACCTGGTGTCTATTTATACCTCCCTGCTTACCACACAAGTATGAACTGTGAGCTAAGGGGTGGGAATGAGATTCTTCCTCCTACTGACTGAGGCTCCTGCTCTTTGGCAGGCAACCTCTAGAACCATCCCAGAGTGATGGAAACCCATGATGACCACAGTCAAGGTGAGTCAAACAACTTCATTTTCCTTAGGTAAAGGTGGCATTTTTGTGGGGGTCTTCTCTGTCAGTACCCCCAGAATTCTTTGAGCTACAAGTAAGAACATTCCTTCCCCAGGTTCTTGGATGCTCCGATGGCAATCAAAGCCTGCCTTTGGGATCCTTGTAGAGGCTGAGCCTCGGCAAAGTGCACTCCTAACGGCTCCTCATCCTGGCTACGACGTCACCTGAGGTAGTTTGTTTATTTGCTCTCACATGGTGGGTACTGAACGAAATCCTGTGTGGCATGTCTGGGGATGCAGGAAGAGTGGCAATGTATGCCCACATGTGGCATCCTTACTCTAATGTCCACGTGTGACTCTAGGCCCTAGGATAGTGTTGTAAGGAGGAAAGGGAGAGGCAAAGGGGGAGGAAAGAGTGAGCCTCACAGAGCCATCCTTCACCTCACCTTGTTCCCCAAACTGTAAAAGGTGTTGTTGCAAAAGTTACCCTTATTCAGAACTGCCTGAAACCAACCTTAAACACTCAGCTGGGGCAATCATCTGCAAATATGGTCTCTCTGTCATGTGGGACAGCAAAGCTGGAAAGCGATGGCGAGCGTTCCAGTGATGTGTAGCCAAACCATTAGACCGACTCTGACAAATGCTTTTTATTACCAAAGGCAACTCTAGGAATAGCTGTGCCTTGGTGAATACCAACTATCTACCAGGTCCTGGCTCAGATGCTTTGTTACATTCTTGAGACAATCTGAGGGCTTGGGTATGACTGCTCCCATTTCCCTAGTGAAGAAATCAAGGTACAGAGAGATAGATGCTTGCCTAGAAACCCCCAGTTGCTTCTGTTCTCCTAAATCTATATACCTGGCCACCACACTCGCATCAATCTTGGCTGCCACATGGGAAACCAGACCTGAAGTTTGCAAGCAAATAAGCCAGGCAGGCTATCCTGCTGTGATCTACACTCCCCCCCATTTCATATTTGGACATTTTCTTCGGGAAATAGTATCTTTGGTCATTCTGACTGCAGCAGAGGCAAGAGATGGAAAGGACTCCTTGTTGCGAAGGTGGGCTGAACATAATTAATGTAACATAACAGTCTTTCACCCATGAAGACTGGCACAGCTACAGAGCTGATGGAGCTATACCCATGTATCACTCAAACTATCACAGGACTGATGTCAAGAGATGACACTATTTTTTATTTATGCTACCAGGCAGAGATTCCTCTGGGCAAACCAGTGTATAGAATAACTATAGTACTAGGGCTTGTAGGAAGCACTCACTCCAGAACGTAGATGTAAATGAGATGGCTGTGACAGCCTCTTTCTGGAATCATCTCCCAGGATCCTAACATCTGGGAATGCTCCAGTCTGCTTTGGGGAAGAAGAGCACCTCTCCTAGACCCTCCCTGCTGAGAAGAAGGCTCAAGAGGTCTGCTTAGTGCTGAGACTTTGTTCTGCTCCAAGGTCACCCAGGGGACACTTAGTAGTATCTGAGATGTAGACAAAGTTCATGGACACTCCTGAGGTGGTCCCTCTTTCCAGAAAGTTCTCTTTGTCCCAACTCTGACAGAAATCACAGCTGTCCAGACTCCAGAATTCCTGAACTAGTGAAGCAGGACATCTGGTTCTGCCCCAGGTTATGCTGACTTCTGCTTGAGGCCCAGGTGTGTTGCTCATACAAGTTGACTTTTCCTGAGAAAACCAAGTCTTGATACTTTAAGACCGGCTTATTCAAACCCACCCCCTCCATACAGAAGCCAGTCCTTAACATGGGACCTGCAGGGAGGCTCTGAGCAATTCATTCACACAGATAGAAGGCACTTGGGGTGTCTTTGGGTAATGGGGTGGGCGATGGTGATGACCAGAGCCCCTGATCCTCTAGGAACAACAAGACACTTGGACAAGGTAGTGGATTCTGGTCTATGCATCTGTGAGACTGCTTCAAGATGACCCAACTTCTGGGAGGTTCAGCCATTCCCTGAACATGTTCCATTTCCAGAATGGTTTTACATGTGTGACCTCAGCGGAAATGCTGTGAGAGAGGCAGAGGAAGACCAGACAGCTCAAAGAGGACGTGTGGCTTTCCTAAGGTCACACTGGTAAGTGTGACAAATCTAGCTTGCCACACCCCCCAGATTGCCTGAACCTAAGTCTAGCATTCTTTGTGGTTGTACCATACTACCTCTTCTCCTGAGGAAGATCTGTGGTTCTATCCACACTCTCACAGTTGTCTACTTTGTGGCATGGCTCCTTAAATCCAGCAGTCTCAAGATGCCCCACCAAAGCGCCAAGCCCCATTCTGAGAAGAAACCACCTTTGTCTTCAAAGGTGCAAGAAAGAATCGGCTATGATCCAGATTGGTGTCACTGCCAGCAACAACGGCATTTGCCAGAACTCTGTAAGTGAGTTCACTCGATCCCTTCACAAGAAGGGCCCCTGCTTCCCACCTTCTTATCTGGCTTCAGAGGTAAGGGCTCATAGTGAAGCAGTCTCACAGATGCATAGACCAGAATCCACTACCTTGTCCAAATATCTTGTTCCTTAGAGGATCAGGGGCTCTGGTCATCACCATCGCCCACCCCATTACCCAAAGACACCCCAAGTGCCTTCTATCTGTGTGAATGAATTGCTCAGAGCCTCCCTGCAGGTCCCATGTTAAGGACTGGTTTCTGTATGGAGGGGGGCGGTTTGAATAAGCCGGGTCTTAAAATAGCAGGACTTGGTGGTTTTCACAGAGAAAGTCAACTTGTATGAGCAACATACCTGGGCCTCAAGCAGAAGTTAGTATAACCTGGGGCAGAACCAGATGTCCTGTTTCAGTAGCTCAAGAATCCAGGCAACTATGAGTTTTGGAGATGCCAAGTACATCCTTGAGGGAAATGTTTAATATCTCAGTGTTTAAACGAGGAGCTGAGAGAGGTTCTAGGGAGGACATGTTGGCTCTGAGTTCTGAAAAACTGACTTCCCTGCAGTTTCTCCATGTTCTTCTTAGTCTTTCTATATTTTGGCTGTCAAGCAGATGTCAGAGACTGGTCTAATTTGGGGATGGATGTAAGTTTTAGCTCTGGAATGTTCCTGGAGGAGCCTGGAGCCAGGTGTAGTGGTCTTAGTGAACTGGGGAGCCTCTCTTCACCCTTTTCGACATCTCCAATACTTCCTGGGGGAAAGGAGTCAGAAGAAGTGGCTGGGACCTCCTCTTAGGGGAGGCAGAGAATCAAATATGACATCAGTACAGATTAAACCTCAAGGGTCCGATGACTCAGAGTTGTCTTGCAGTGCTCTGAGCAGAGCCAATACCACAAGAGCATGCAGGGAGGCTGCCCCAGGTTTAACCGGTCTGTGCAGTAATAGAACGGCAATCATGCAGACTTCTCACCCACAGCCTTTTCTGTCCTCTCTACCTGGTTTTCACTGGAACTTTCTTACCAAGCACATCTTCATCACAGAAAGGTGGGAAAGACCAGATGAGAAGCAGAAGGCTGACTGCGTCCTTGTCTGGCCATTCTACAAAGGTAATGCCTATGTCCTTAGCACCCACAACAGTCAGGGACAGGCTGAGTCTAGGACGGGGACCCTAATCAAGGACATCACCACTGCCAAAGTGCTAACAGGGCTGCTTTGGTGCTGGGATCCCAGACTCGGGGAACTATGACCTCTGGGCAGGTCAGTTTCCTGTAGCTGAGCTAACATTTCTGGTTCTATATGTTCCACAAGACAGGACTCTTATCTCTTCTCCTTCTAGTAAAATCTTTGTCCTGTCTCGAGAGGGAGGTATTGGGGGGGGGGGGGGGCATTTCTTGCTGAGTCAGCACTAACTGCAAGTCGTTAGGAATGCTCAGCTACTAGCAATGTCTTGGACTCAGTTTTTCTGCCCAGGTCATTTGAAAGCTGATTCTGGGCTGAGCTTGGCTCTGGTTCCTTTAGACACAGTAACTGAAAAAGTTCATCCTTTAGCCCAGCTTGCTCCCCTTTCACTGAAACTTCAGTTTTCCGGGCTGAGCCCCCAGGGCAGAAATTCTGTTCTCCTCCCTTCTTGTGCTGGATGCTGGCATTGCCAAGTTCTGCCGGGGCTGAGCGCCAGGTTGGCAAGGTAGTGCATGCCCCTTGATCAGAACCAGCTGGGCTTACAGAAGTTGGACAGCTTCCCTCCAGGTTTCGCTAACGTCTTTTACTTACAGGAACCTCAGTTCTGTACCCAAAGACAGTCCCAGCCACCTCGTCCCAGCCCAGCTTCCTGTCCTAGGGAGCCCCAGAGAGTGACCGACAGTAGAGAGTTGCGGAAAGCAGGCCCAGGAGGAGCAGGGCTCTTAAAAAAAAAAGTGCAGTTTTCATCTCCTTTGGGAGAAGCAGGTGCCTGGGGACTGCGGGAGACTCAGGATGCCGGCTTGGAAGAGTCAGAGCCAGCAAGCCTACTGTCAATTGGAAGGGACTTAGGGGCTGGGAAGTAGGAAGCCAGGATAGCAGAAGTTAATGGAATTATTACTCTTTCTCAGAAAGGAGAAAGTCTCCTTTGGGATTGGGCTTGGGAGTTCCAAGATCCCCCCCCCCCACCGCCCCCAGTGGGAAGGGAATTGAAAGTCATTTGGGAAGAGATGGATGTTATGGATTGTTAGGGTCCGCGGAAGGCTCTTGAGTCCTACCTGCAGGTCGGTCCCATAGAAGGCAGCCATGGACGCATCAGCCACCAGTAGTGTTTCCACGAAGCGAGCCTCGGACACAAACCGTTTGCTCCTTGTTTTGGATCTTAAGGGTGGTGGCAGTTCTCTGGAGTCTTCTGTCTCTTTGCGCAGCCCCCCTTTGTCCTGCTCCCTGCCCTCTTCGTCGTCACTTCTCTCCGGTCCCTGCCCCTCACCCATCTCCACCTCCCACTCGAGTCCTTGAGGGACGGGGAAGACTTCGGCGGCGGCGAGCCCGGGGTCCTCCCGGCGCTGCCCGGGCCCCCAGCGCTGCAGGCGGTGAGGCTGGTCCAGGGAGTCCCCAGCGCCTTGCGGCTGGATGGTGAACTCCTCGCCTGCCAGCAAGAATGAGCCGCTCAGCCCGCGACACAGGCTCACCGCCGCCAGCGACTCTCGCTCCCCATTCACCGTGCCCGAGAAGAAGCAACCGCGCAGCCCCGGCTCGCCCCCGGCCGCAGCGCTCGAGCCCCCGAGACGCTCGATCTTGAACTCGGGCGCCAGAAAGCTGGCGTCGGGCGCCAGGCGCAGCACGAAGCCCTGGCCGAAGGCGGACAGGTGGAAGGCGAGCTCGCTCGTGCTGCCCGGCAACCGCGTGGGCACCAGGAGCTCCGAGGCCTGCGACCCGGTGGTTCTCGGCTCTGCCGGGGCGCCGCGGACGAGCGGCGGCGGCGGCAGCTGCAAGAGCAGCAGCAGGAGGGGCGGCCACCGGGCGGCGGTGGGGTCGCGGAGCATGGGGGCAGAGGGCTGCGGAGCGCGGGAGAGGGAAGAAGGCCGCCGCGCGCAGGCAGGTGCTGGTGGCCCAAGGCGGCCGGGCCGCTCTCTCCAGGAAAAGTGATCAGTCGGATGGGGAGGCCGACTCGGTGAGCGGCAGCAGGCGCGGCGGTCCCCTGGCGGCCCCTCTGGTTCGCGCAGCCCGCTCCTCCTGCGCCCGCCAGCCAACTTTAGCAGAGCTCGAGCAGCTGGCGCCCCGGACTGCGAGCGAGCGCTCTCCTCCGCGCTCTCCCGGGCAGCCGCCTCCTTCCTCGGGAAGCACCGAGTGGGCTGCCGAGCCTTTCGTATTTATACTTCCTTCCCGGCTTTGACATAAGAGGTTTATTTTTGATCTCTCACTATTCCCGTTTCCCCTCCCCTGGGGTCAGAGACAGAAACAGAAAAGAGGGAGAGGAGGGGAAAAAAAAAAGGTTGAAATGTAAAACCAATCAGGAGTCAGTGAGCCCCTCCCCATAGTTAAGTATTTAAGTGTCGTGTCCACTTCAGCGTTTTTTCTTGGTTTCTACGTGAAGACCCAAGTCAATTCCTCTAATGCTGGACAGCCCCTGAAGACAAGTCCTCGAGGTGGAGGGGGGCGGCGGGAGGGAGGAGACGCTAGCCTCTTCCTGTGCTAGAGTCAGGTGCTGGGGACAGACACACTTTCTGGAAGAGGCCCCTGCATCCGTCTCAGTGACAGTATTCAGATTCCTGAACAGACCTGGCAGTGTTAAAAGAGGTTTTTGGAGACGATTCCAGAGCCTTTAATGGTAAAACACACGAGAGGTAGAAAGTCACACTGAAATCACGCTGATCGTGAAGACCATTGCAGAACTTAAAACAACAACAACAACAACAACCACCACCACCACCCGGTCAAGGCTAGCAGGGACTCTTTGGTTCTTGATTTTTTTTTTGCTCTCTCTCTGTAGACCAGACCTGCCTCAAACTCAGAGAGATCCGCCTGGCTCTGCCTCCCAAGTGCTGGGATTAAAGGCGTGCGCCACCACCGCCCAGCACTAGCAAGGACTCTTAATTGCTTGGAGGACAGTGGGGTCAGTAAGAGGTAACCGTCAGCCAGGCAACGCGGATTCAATACCATGAAGTCCCCACTTCACCTGGGAGGAAGCACTTCTCTAGTCTGTTTTCTGTCGTACAGTTCTGCCAGTTGCCTTGGTGACACGAGGGAAGGTGGTCAGGTCCCTTTTTGCTGCATCGTCCACAGCTCCAAATACATATAAATATGTGGGAAGCTAATTCACCCTGCCATACACCCCATCTTCCCGTAGAAGAGTGGGACCCGGGAAGAGTGATGACAGTATTAAGACCACAAAACCCAACCTTTGTATCTGCTCCAGTCTTAAGGGTTCAGGTCGCGATTGCATTCGGAATCCTGTTCTCTCAGTACCAGTCCAAGACTTAGCCCCACATCCTTCCTGAACGGCCAGCATGGAGGACATACCATTTGCCAGCTCACCTACCCCCAACAGATGCAGCTTTTTGCTCATGCTGAGGGTGCCCACCTTAAGTTCTCTGTGCTTTTACAGCAATTCAAACAGGTGGTTGAGAACCTTCAAGGTACAGAATCTCCTTCGTTTCCTGCACAGAGAATTGGAAGTTTGGGTGAAACATTCCTAGAGGCAGGGGAACAGAAAGCATCATGGCTTCAACCCTTTACCAAAGATGAACAAAATACTTATCCCACAACTGTTTAATACCCCTGGGACAGTGTGACCTGTACGGATAAATGAGTAATTCCATTTGCCTCAGGGCTATGGTGACATTTCAATTACTGGGCTTTGCCATTAAGTCCCTTGTTCGCCATTTTCCAGTGTGGAGCTCCTTCTCCCTCCCTTCCTGAGACAAGGTCTCAACTACATAGCCCAGGCTGGCCTCAGACTTCTTAGTCTCCTGCCTTAGCCTCCTCAGCCCTGAAGTCACAGGGATGTGCTGGGTCCTCATGCCTGGCTTTCAACTTTTGGCTTTCAATAATAGTTAGGTCCTTCTTCACCCATGCCTTCTTTCTCCTTTGTGACTATATGAGAAGAGTACCCAGCTCCCCTTTTCTCCTTAGACATTAATGGCTATAACCAAGCTAGGGGAACTAAATGTTGCTGGCGCTTTCAATCGGGAAGGCTTTGGAAACTGCAGCTGCTACTGTTTTAAAATAGGGAGAAGAACCACCTTTGGATGTCCCCTTGGGAGACAGCTGCTGAACTTTGGGCTTTATCTCGCCCCATTTCATCAACAACTATAACTATAATTACACGACAATTGTGGGCTGGCAAACTATCCCAGGAGCCAGCCGGGCTGCTTGGTTCATCCTTCTAGGAGGTTGCTTGTACTTTCATGGGAACTTCCAGGGAAGTGACTGCCGTTTGCAGTGCGACCACAAGGTGTCACCCGAACCTTAGCTATGCTTAATCCACAGCTTGCAGGGATGGTGGATGACTGGGGAGGAAGCCTTTAAAGCAAGGTGGAAGAAATCCGCACAACAAAAACAAACACTATCACATCCCACCACCGAAAATCCCAAATGGGCCAATTATGAGTTCCTATATGATAATTTTTGTCCCCTCAAAGAACATAACTACTGAAAGGGTCGGCAAACTGTGGTGCATGTGCTAAGGCTTTTTTTTTAGATTTATTTATTTATTATGTATAGTGTCCTGCCTGCATATATGCCTTTGGGCCAGAAGAGGGCGCCAGATCTCATTACAGAGGATTGCGAGTCACCCTGTGGTTTCTGGGAATTGAACTCAGGACCTCTGGAAGAGCACCTAGTGCTCTTAACACCTGGGCCATCTCTCCAACCCTAAGACTGTTTTTGTACATCCCACAAGCTAAATAAAAATGTTTTACATATCTTCAGTGGTAAATTTAAAAAATTGACTTAATATTTCACAACACTTGAAAATGCCATGAAATTCAAATTTCAGTATTTGTAAGAAAGTTTACTGGTAACAGACATTCATGGATACTTTGGCTGCATTTGAGCTGTAAAGGGTATGGATGACCTTGAAATATTTACTACTTGAGCCGGGCAGTGGTGCCACATGCCTTTAGTCCCAGCACTAGGGAGGCGGAGGCTGGCTGATCTCTGTGAGTTCGAGGCCAGTCTGGTTTACAGAGTGAGTTCCAGGACAGTCAGGACTACACAGAGAAATCCTTTCTCAAAATACCAATGTGTGTGTGTGTGTGTGTGTGTGTGTGTGTGTGTGTTATCTGTCTCTTTCTACAAAAGGTCATTGACTGAATGTAAAAAGGTGTTAGTATGAATTCATTAAATTTGAAGTGTGAAATGTAGGTGCCATATATGTGATTCTTAGAAAATAAGAAGACTCAAAATAATTTTTTGCTCTGAATATGAATGGGAACTATGAAAAGTTAAGATGTCTTTGTTTTGTCTTTAAATCTATATTCAGCAGTCATTCAGTATTTAATTAGCATTTACATAATTAATTAGTTTATACTGGCACATATTATAGACCCATTGTAAATTTTAAGTTGTTTTTGGTTTTCTTAAGATCTGCTTAGATTTATTTATTTTATATGTGTGAATGTTCTGCCCACTTATATGTATATGGACCACATGTGTGCCCATGGAAGTAAGAAGAAGGCATCAAATCCCCTGGGACTGGAGTTACAGCTGCCGTGTGGGTGCTAGGAACCACACTGAGGTTCTCTGGAAGAGCAGCTAGAGATCCACATCTCTCTCTCTGGCCTCTTTAGTTTTCAAAAAATATTCATTTATTTATGTGTACGTTTGCGTGAGTGTATGTGCAGGTGTGCATATTCTGCACGTGTGTGGAGTCCAGAAGAGGCCACTGGGTATCCTACCTTACCACTCTCTGCCTACTCTTTTGAGGCAGGGTCCCTTCCTCGGCCTGGGACTTATCTTTCCTTGGCTAGGTTGGAAGCCAGCACGCCCCCGAGATTTCCCTGTCTCCATTTCCCTTGGGACTGGTTGTGAGGGATGTTAGGCTTGTGTGGGTGCTCATGACTATGCAGCAAGCTCGCTTAGTAAGGGAGCCATCTTTGTAGTCCTGACCTTTAGGTTTTCGATTAATTCATACTATTTCTCAGTTAATCACTAGAGTTTTATACACTGATTGCCTCATAACTTTGTAGTGTGTACTGCTGAATTCTGGTAGTCTCTAGGCTTCCAGATTCTTTCAGAACTGGAAGAAACATTAGTGGTCAACTAATCCACTTCTGTTAGCATTTTGCGGAGGAGGGCAAATGCAGGTTTCGGTGATGGACTCAGAGTTGTGTCAATGATGACGGCTTTGCCACCGTAAGTGCTCTGGCGCCTTCTGCAGGGAGGTAAAGGCTGCTTTGCTCCAGAGTTTCATTTGCAATTTGTATTGTTTCATCAACACTGCCTGCAAAACGTGGGTGAGGCATTGTCTTTTTGCTCATTTTCCTTGCCTTGGTCACGTTTGCTCCACAGTAGTGATGGCTGTTGTCCTGTGAATGCTTGCTTTGTGCTAAGCACTCCGCTGAAGAGGGAATCACACAGGAGAAGAAGCAGGTTTGGAGCACTTAAGTGATGTGCCTGGGGTTACTTGGCTGGCAGGTGATAGACACAGGCTTCCTCACCAAAGTCAAACACTAATGAAATAGAAAATTTTGGGGGAAGAACATCTCACACAGTGTTAACCAGGGTATTAGGGGGCTAGAGAGGAGTGTTGGGCCAGTGTCCTTCTTTGGGAGGATGCTTAGTCTCTCTTTCTGGACCCTGGTTCCTTCAAGGTTTCAAAGAAAGAAATAAAATGGCTTCTCTCAAAGTCCAGCTATAGCTCTTAAACATAAGCAAAGTTCATTCCTTCCAAACCTTTCTGTGCTGCAAGTTACGTCCATTTTCTGTCATTTTAGCTATCAGATGATGGCCACAATGTCACCTAACAGTTACCAGAGAAAGGACTTCCCAGTCCCTCTCGGTCCTGCCATTGAACACACATCCCAGGCATGCCATATTCCATTTCCGACACCAATTTTATGTTGATTCACACCTGTTTTCTTCATCACACAGGCTTTGGTGCTGTCACTCATGTGTAAGAGGGGCTCCATGCAAACCTCTTTCTGCTCACTTCTTTCTTCGTGGCTAAGTGAAACCTCTGGAATAGAGTTCAGTATTTACAAAACCAGTCATTCATATTCTCAAGGCTACCCTGGCAAAGAAGCAGTTATTCCAATCAATTTCTGCTTTCAGCTGGCTGCTGTGGTACTCTCAGACAGTGTCCATGGGCATGCAGCCAACCGTGTTATCAGCATCGCGAGAAGCAGACTAGCATAAACAACCTTATGGTGGTATTGACATTCTCTTCCTAACAAGAGTTTTATTGATTTAAATACACCAAGAAACAAAGACCAATAACTTTGCTATTTATGTTCTCAGTGTCTGCTAATGTGTGCATCAAATTGCTTAAGAGGTGGCCCCTGCCCTCCAAGTTAGCCGAATGAAGGAGTGTTTGGGCAACATACACACACAAAAGATACCCAGGATTCCAGAAAGAATACATCCATGGTTACAATCTGTGATTACTATGTAAATGACTTAAAAGAGTAACTTGGACATTTGAGCAATATAGGTAATAACTATGGCCACAATGAGAATAGTCTTGGGACTGCATATGGCCAGAAGGTGGCAGTGCTGGAATTTGGTGTTTCTAGAAGTAATTATCATGTCGCAAATGAGTAGAAGGAGCAGTCCTTTCCACTTCTACAGAAGGGGAGCTGAGTGCTCACCGGATTCCTTACAGTCATTCATTGAGGGAGGTAAGTTGTCTGTCTCAGTTAATGTAACCGATGTGCTCTCTTTCTTATTAGTCTTTCTTCACCTCCATCTATGGTCATCATTAAGACCAGTGTCTCTCAATTCAAAAGAGAGTCTAGGAGGGCAGAAAAAGCTGAGGTGTTCTCAGGGTCAGAGACCACCTGGATCTCAAGAATGCCGTGGCTCCTGTATACCCAGTTAGTCACTAATGCAAGCAAAACATTTCCCCAAATTGTCACTATTTATTACAACCACCAGATGGGAGTCTTGTTACATTTACCTTTTGTAGCTGCTGTAAGAGGGTCTGAAACCTCCTTCAACAATGGTCTCATCTCCATGTAACCATTTTTACACACACACACAGACACAGACACACACACACAGACACAGACACAGACACAGACACACACACACACACACACACACACACACACACACACACACACACACACACTTTGCACCCATTTAGCTTTGTTTTAAAAGGAAAAGGGAGATGAGTGAAAGGAGCTAGGCACTTCAGGATAGAGAATAATTTTTTTCAGGTATGGCAAGGTGCTTAGTCAAGATTATGAATATATATATATATATATATATATTCATAAGTGAATATATTTACAGTAAGTTAGAATGTGAAGTGCCATGGCACATGTAAGCATGTATAAATTACCAGCAACATCCCTACCACCACCACCACCACCATCACTACCGTCATCACACCCCCACCACCATTACCACCACCACCGTCATCACCATGGTCATCATCTGTTCTCCCATCTGGCCTGGGGGAGCAGCTGTAAAACATCTGGAATAGCTCTCACCATCTTTCCACCCAGCTGTCAACTCCAGAGTTGCCTGGAGCTCTCATCTGACCTTCTGCTTTGAGGACCAGCAGAGAATCCAGTAAGTTGGGAACACTTCGGCTCAAGAGTAACCACTACCAGGAATATTCACATTGTGAGAGAGCCGAGGAAAGAGAGCCAAGAGAAACAAACATCCGACAGGCTTGCAGGCACCGTCCCCGCAGCTTGGGAGAGGCCGGGGCCACATGCCGTGTCCCCAGCAGCTGTGTGGCCTACTGCAGCCTGCATCTAGGCGGAACTGTCATTTTAATAGGTCAGTGGAAGTAGTCAAGCAATCACAAGAGACACATGTAAGAGTTTTCAAAAAAACAGGACTTCGGAAGAGGATGGGAGACAATATTGTAAGACGCACCTGTTGGAATTGTCAAGTATTATTGAATAGTGCAACATTCTTTGATTCTGGATAAGAAAATCTAGTTTCTATTGTTTGTTGTGTCTTAAGACATCTGTGTTTATGGGAAATTCTTCACTTGTCCACCAGTCTTACTTCCTTACATTACAAGGATTATTTTTCCCCCAAATGTTCTTCCAGAGAGCTTAGTCTGTTTGGGTCTCATCCTGTTTGTTGTCATTAAAGAATTTCAAAGAGAGGCATAGTCAGTCTAGGGAGACAGGACCTAAGAGATCCCTTTTCTGACAGATAGGGAATGAGACTTATGAGGCATTTATCTGAACAGAATCACACGGTGATTGACAGGAGATTAAGGGCTGAACCTCGGGTTCTCAATGCAGGTTGTTTCCATGTCACATCTGGGCATAGTGTAACCCAGAGCCCATGTCTGTCTGTCAATGGGGCCACTAGCAGAACTGGCTCATCAGAGTGCAGTATTTCCACATCTGATGTATTTCTGCATCCTCCCTGTCACAGTGATTGCACGCCTTCATTCTGACCTCTTTCTTTTATGATGGCCTTCTTTTAAAGGAGAGACTTATTTTCTAATTTTGCTTGTATGTGTGTGTGCCTCCATGCATTTATGTGCATCACATGCA